ATATTGGGGTGCTGATCCAAGGATTCTATTAACATTATATAAATGATTAGTAAGGAGTCATTTTGAATATGCTTTTTATTGTTTTGCAGGGGTAAGAACTATAGTAGATAAATTAGAAAAGATACAAAATAAATGTTTGCGTATTATAATGGGTGCCATGCGAACTACTCCCATAGTGTCAATGCAGGTGGAATGTAATATACCTCCATTAGCACTAAGGTTTAAATACTTACAATCAAAATTTTTTGCAATGTTGCTCTCCATTAGTAACCATCCACTTCTTGTTAAACTGCGGGACACTATTAACAGGACTGCTAATATTAATTCATATGTGTTTCACAGTTTTTCTGAAACAGAACAAATTTTTAATAAACACAATATTTTTTCTAGCATGGTATGGCCTTGTTACTCTGGGTTATATGAATCAAAATATATGCAGATTAAAATTGTAGTCAAAAGTCTTGTAAAGTATAAGGAAGACATTTATAGGGAACTTGATAGGTGGCAGGGATATCATCAGATATACACAAATGGGTCTAGGAACAATGAAGCAGTCTCTATAACTGTCTATAATAGTCAGGTCAATAGTGGATTTGGTTATAGGCTCAATCCACTCACAAGCATTTCTCCGCTGAATCCATAGCTGTGTATACAGCTATGGAGCACATTCAAACACAGACTCATCCTAAGTGGATTATAATAACAGATAGTTTAAGTTTATTAACAGCACTACAAAATCAACAATTAGATTCAAATACTAACTATATCTTCTATATATATATAAAAATGGATTGCTGTTCCTTAGTCTCGCTAAAACTCGAGAACGGCTGAACGGATTTATCTTATCTTAGTCTTGAAATGTTCGTGGAGGTTCAGGGAAGGTATAAAAGCTGAAAAAAATTGATTGATTACTGGGAAAACCCTAAAAACGGCCCTTTTCTATTTCCCATACAGACAGCTTTTTTGACATTAGATTTGACAACTAACTTATATGTCAATCATTCAAGTGAGCGAGAAATTTTCTCACTTTGATTAATTACGTTACGATGCCGCCGAGAAAAAATCTTTACGGAGGAATAGAGTTCACTCAGTCAGATATACATTTCTAATTCTGAAACTAACGCAGACGAAGTCGCAGGCAAAAACTAGTTATATATAAAATAAGAGAGTTGTATCACCTGTTGTCTCAAAACAAGCAAATAGTCCTATTCTAGAGCAAGCAGACTATTTAGCTAAATTTATTACAAATCCGGCCCACAATCAATTAAGTCATAGCTTTTTAAATTTCCCAATTCCTTATTCAGACGCTCTATCCCTCTCATAACTCAAGTTACAGAAAGAATTTTACAACTTATGGCATCAGGTGGTAAAGGCAAATGGAAAATGGTTCGCTACAATAAAGAAAAAGGTCTCTTCCCCCTGGTTGACCCGGGGTAGTGACTAGAAAGTATTATACCACAATCTGTCGTTTGCGTCTGGGACATTGTAGTTTTGGTGCTCACCTTTTTAGGGTTGGTGTTTTTGACTCTTCAATTTGTAGACATTGCAATAGTGCTGATGAAACCCTCGAACATATATTTTTTGATTGTCCACAGTTTAGTATACAAAGGATGGTCCTTGTAGACCAACTTTTAAGTATTTTTAAAACTGCTGAAGATATCTCGCGCTCCCTTCAGCAAATACTAAGCATTCAAGAATGCTTCTTGCCAGTTTATGGCTTTATTGTTTCTACTATAAATGAAATCTAATTGTTATATGTACATATGTATATACTAATAACTTTTTCGTTTTGTTTAAGATATTTGTTTTCCAGCTATTTCAGCTATTTTCAGAATTTGACCGTTTTATCGACTGTGACAAATGAATTGTACTAAAAATGACATTACAAGGACTTGACATTGAAAAATGACAGAATGAAAAAAAAAACTAGAATTTGACAAAAAAAATATATTTTAAATAGAGACTTGGCTTCGGCCTTATAATTAAAATAGGATTCAAGAAGAAAAATTAAAAGAAAACATGGCATATACCTTATATAAAAAATTGAGTCAAGAATAAAAAAGGAGATTAAGGCTAGGGTTGCCAACCGTACTATAATATATAGTATTGTACTATATTTCGGGTCTGTGTACTATATACTTTTGAAAAAATATATAGTATGTAAAAATACTATATTTTCAACACCGACAAATCTAACAACCAAATCCTTAATTTAAAAAAATAAGAACGCACCTTTAAAGTACCCCATAGGCGATAACGTCCGAACGCTTACGTTACTTAATTGAATGTGACAAAGCATATGACACTTTTATTTTAAACAAAAAACTGTTACACGGTGCAAGAAGTGCAAAAAAAAAATTTGTTGTTTGTAAAGTAGGTTTACGATCGAGATGTTTACGTGATAACGTCTTATTGGTGATATAAGTTTTTGGGAAGTAAAATATTCAACGAAAACTTAACCGCACGAGAAAATCTCCATTCGTTTGTATGCCGCTAGAGTGAGAGAGACGGAAGATAGGTCCACTCACTCGAACGCTATGCCTGCCTCCGCTCGTGAGGATTCCGCGTGACAAGTTTCACGGAATGACTGGCAGCGCTCGAAATGAGACGGGAGATCGGTCCGTCTCTCTCTCGTTATATCTGCGATCGCGCTCGTGAGGTTTTGATGTGACACAAGTTTCTGAACATGTCACCCGACTAAAACGATTTTAAAGACGTTATCACGTCAAAATATACATAGTTTTTTATAAAAATAAATAATTAACAAATAAATATTTGTCTCTTTTTTTGTTTTTCCCATAAAATACTATATTTCTTTTAACTGTAATATATTTTTTTACACCTTATTTTGGAAAATACTATATTTCGCTGATGAAATGTTGCCACCCCTCCTTATTAAGACATTTAAAAATAATTAAAGATGCAAAATACAAAAGACATGGCTGTATGGGCTTTGTTTTCTTTGCCTGTTCTGAACGGAACGAACATAACCAAAAAAAAATATTTACGTGCTCCTCTATGACAGGACCAATATTATCGAAGCGAATCAATATTCGAACCTTCCAATGAAGGTAATGCATTTTTAGATGGTCTACCGCCATTTTTAATGTTTCATTATTTTAAAAATGGGTGGTAATTTAGCAATTTTATCTTTTTTATCCAGGTCAGCATTATAACATAGATGAATATTTTCCTTTATAGAGTAAAAATTTGTTACTCGTTCAATTTCTTACAATTGATACATTTTTGTCTTCATCTTTTGACCCGTATAATTTTGTAGCAGGGCAAGAATGATATCCAGACAATAATAAAATACCAATAAATCTTTTGAGTTCTGCTACCGAGAGAATAATAAATGACGGCTATGATCACATGCATATTTTTCAGAAAAACCTACAATCTGTTCCTAAACTTCATCACTTAAAAATAGAGAAAATGCTTCAAAAGGTTTTCTTCCACCTACAAGTAAGTCGGATGTTGTTTTTTCTAGTCTGGAACACATTTTGGTCACTGCTTCGAAGTTGAAGGACCGGGCTCTCCTTGCGTATGTTCAGGCTCTGGTAAATCGGTGTGGATTTCATACGTTCCAGCGATATCAGTCTGCACAATATTGTCGTAATCACCTAGCGCGTCATCATCTAGACCTTCCTTGCCTGTAAGATTGTCAACCGTCGGGGGATATACATGGCGTCGATTTGATCGGCATCTTCTAAAGCTCCTTCCTCTTCTAATATACTTAGAATTTCTTGAGAAGATAGTGCTGGTTACCCAGCCATAATGTTTCAGTTTTTAAACGGTCTTATTTAGCTCACCCTGTTTGTTTTATTATTATTTATTCTTTTTTTTTCATCTTTCATTTTTCTTGGGTCAAATTTAGTAATTCAAATTTCACCCTCTTTTTGTCAACCGATTAATCTGAAATTTTGTATACACTTTGGATTTTGGTGACAATACAATTATGTTTATTCATTATCATTATAAATTCAAAATGGCGGCCGCTACAAAATGGCGGATAACGTAGGTTATACCAATCCCATCAATATGGGTATCAAATGAAAGGGCTCTAGAAGCAAAATAAAATGTACTATAAAAAATTGAAATCCAAGATGGCGGCCAAGAAATGGCGGATAACGTAGGTTTCATCAATCCCATCAATATTGAAATGTTAAATTATATTAATTTTATTAGTTATGTCAATTTTTGTGATTATTGTGTAATGTTTTATTAATTTATTATTATTATTATTGTAATTTAATTTAAATTTTGATTCACTACAATTATTATATGTATTTTGCATGATGTGATAGCCTATAATTAAAAGGACATTTAGGTTATTATTGATAGTTTGTTAATGTAATCAATGTGTTAATGTTTTCTTTTGTTGGCTATCCAAATAAAATAAAATAAAAAAATAAAATAAAAATATGGGTATTGGGTAACAAATGAAAGTGCTGAATACAATTTACTATGCTAAATTGAAATCTAAGATGGCCGCCGCTACCAAATGGCTGATAACAATTATTTAGAGGAGTTGGACTGCAATAAACTAACGGGCAGAAACCTTGCAATAATGAAGCACAAATGAATTAAACAGAATGCGAAATAAAAACTAAAAACAAGAAAATAAAAATAGGTAAAAAAACTTTTTAAGTTAAGTAAACGGTTTTCCGTTAAACATACATTGCAATGTTTAAGATAAATGTACTAAAAACCAAAAAATAATAAAATAGATACAGTCGTGGGCATTATAAACATATGCACAGACTAGACTTTAATTTTTAGACAATATTAATGTTATTTTGTTGCACCAAATAGTGAAAGTAATTTAAATATAGGTACCGAAACATATACTTTTAATGATACAACTTAAAATATTGCATTTTATTATTTAAAATTCACTAAAATTTTTTAAACTATTTACATGGTCTGAAAAGTACACACAGCTATGGAGGTCATACTGTAAATGCTTGTAATGAAGAACGTCGATTCGACTCTTAAATTCATAACACAATAGTTTGTATTAAATCCGTCTTAGATAGTCGTTTATTTGAAGGCCCACATGGATTGTATGGTTTTTGAGGAGTCGATGGTTTCCGTGCTCCTGTCAGAATGGGAGCCTCTCCTCTTGGTCCCGCTTCCTTGTCGCATTTGCGTTTTGAGGTTTTGTTGTCAGACTCAGTTGACTTTTCTGAGGTATGACTTTGTTCGTTGTTTCGGCATCCTGTTATTTTCTTTTGAAGGTTTTTAATAGATAACCAGGAACTGCTAGAGTCGTTAGAAGGTGATGACAATGCTCTTGGACATTCAAATTCAGATGTAGATGACTTTCCACATATGTTAGACTTTGTCTTGTCAAAGTTAAGTGCTACATGGACCCGAACAAAATCAGAAGCTGGAGGAATTTTCAGTTCTATTACGCCCATGCCTAGAGAATTAACATCTTTACGTTGTTGTTGAGGTAACACTACTCTTCCTAAGCCAGTTTCGTTCAGCTTTGATCTTTCGAGCAAAATAGATTTCAATCTATCATTCTCCGATTCATTGGACGAATTAACAGATTTATTGTTATTTTTGTTTTCTATAGATTTTTCAGTACATGTTTTGGAATGTAGCTGATGCCGTGAGCCGCAAGGTTTGTTACACAAGTGTTCTGAACGTCGCCGTAGACGTTCTGTTAACGAGGGTTCCTTACATTGTCCCGGAGTGGCAGCGGGTGGTGGTAAACTTGTACACCAACTTTTATCTCCAGCATATTGTGCAGTTGTACCAGAAGGAGCCCGTCTGCAAGTTTTTCTAGGACAAACACCGCTGCTGCCTTTTATTGTCTCAATAATACGCGTCGTCAGACTTTCCTTCGATGAAGTCCGTAGAGGTGTTTTGGCAGGGCTTGGACTCTCGTTTTTGATGTTTGATTGCAAGATATCTGATTTATGATTTAGATGTGAATTATGACTGCGATCTATTTCCACGAATACTCTTGGATTATGTGCGCAAGGGTCTGAGTACTTGCCATGTTTTATCTCACAATTGTCAGCTGGCTCCAGGTCTACAGGACAGGGCGGAGGTGGTATTCGACAGGGGCCACATTTAAGTTGCGAGTTTTTCTGTTTAGAAACAGCGTAATCACAACCATCCGTGGCGCGCATGCAGGTTCGCTCTCCGACAAGTTGATAAACAGCGGCCTCATACTTGGGTGCTGGTTTTTTGTCTGCTACTTCACGTTCATAGTCTGAACGTCGAGTGAACTCGGCCGCTGCGAGGCGCCTGGCAACGCGATCTAAGTTATCACCACATTTTTCATGTTGTTTATGTTTGCATTCACTCGCTTCACAGTGTGAAACACTGGTCTTCTGAAAAAAGGCAAATAATTATTTTAGTAAATAAAATAATATATTTAGTTAAATGTCAAAATTATTTGTACAATCAATGAGTACAGTATTTATATAAATACGATAAAAATCCTCGTAGTCATTTCAATCGCTTCCAGGTGATCATGCGTGAACTTGATTCGTGATTTAAAATTCGTCCTTTATTAATAATAATAAATTCATATAAAAATATATAGCTGTTCTTAATTCTGTTATACAAAATATGTTTAAAGTTTCAACTCCAAATAATAAATATCCTCAAGTGAAAGAAAAGATTTACTAGATTTTTTTTAGGTTCAATCTTCTAGAGGCTAGTTTGAAAAAAGTTACAGATATAAAATAAATTGAAAAATGATTGTTTTTTGAAAAAAGGATTAGTGCTTAAATAAAATTTAAATATGTGACGCCTACTTTTGAGACAAAAATAAAATCGATAGCCCTTTTGTAATAATTATTACTTTTTCAGTCGCATGTCGGCAGGTCTTGGAGCAGTTTGGAGGCGAAGGGGAGCACGGGGGTCGTTGACCGATGGGTGGCGCGCAACACACTCGTTTGACTCCGCGGGTGGCGCTCGTAGGGGGAGGAGGACGACACGCGGGCTGGGGCGCCGACTTACACGGAGGACACACGGCCGGCTCCGGGAACGAGCAGGGGGGGGGACTCGCTTCTGATAAACTTCGTGTGACCTAAACAAAAAGGTCTACTTATTAACGAAACTTTAAAAACCATGGCTTTTCATTTCTAGAGCGTATAAAAAACCGCTACTTAAACTTGAAGTTTTATTAACTTTTATGCGATCAGTTTGAAGTTATAAGAATATGAGTATTATTAATTTATTTTAAAATCTGGTCTTTGAGTAGCAGAAGGGACCCTCACTGTCTTTATTTTAGTCATTAAAGTTCTTTCTCTGTTTATTAAACTATGTATTTAAAATGTTGACTCACTAGTCGTGTAGTATCAGCGTGCCGGAGTAAAGATCGGGATACAAAAAACACCGCCATGCTGTGTGTGTAACAGTTCTGTATTAAAAATTTAACTTCCCAATTATTTTTTTCGAGGGCCTAATACGTTTGAAACCGGTGGGCTATGAAATTACATATTATTTTTGTTTAATTTAAAAAGAGTTTTTACTAAAATTATCCACGATGCCAAATAGTTCATATATGTATGTATTGACATTGTGTCATGTACACTAGCGGATGGGGTCACTGTCAGTCAGTCATATAAAAAGCCGTCACTCAGACCGTGGGCCGCCTGTGTTTGTATTGACACATACATATATTTATAATTTACAGAATGTGTGAGATGTGGTTGTAGTGTTCTCTACAGACATCATTCGTGATAAAGTAATAATTTAAATAATTTTTAATTAATGTAAAATGTTTGTTTTATAAGATTTTAGCTGATATCCTACATCGACAAACATAATTCTTAGTTTCAAATTAATTATACATATGGAGTTGGATCTACCTGAATGCGAGACTTTGTGGACATACTTTTTTCTTCACGGACCGGAATTTTAAGACTGTCATTGTGATGTTTTTGATATTGCTCTCCTTTTTTTTGTTTCGGTCAAAAGATTGAGAACACTCATCATCATCATGTCTTAGTTCTTTGTATCAAGAACCGATCAAACTAATGAAAGTTCAGATTTCGATATCTCTTTGTTTATAATAACATGATGACGAATACGTAACACTGGATATTTAATTTAGTTTTTACCTATTTCAATAAATTCAACTCAAATTCAACGTTTTTATAATAAATTTAAACAAAGAGAAGTAAAAGAAATGAAAATGTAATGCGAAATAAAAATTTATTTCTTTTGAAGTATTTGCAGGAGTCACTTGACGACATAAATTGTAAAAAAATATATAATTAAGTCACATAAAGGTAATCAAGGATTTTTTTTGGATGTTGTATTAATGTATAATCAAACTTTTTAAGAGTCTTATTGATATCTACATTTACAAGGGGATTCAATATGTAACACTTCTAAAGGTATAATTTAAAATAAGCTTAAACAACTTAACATTAGTAAGTAGAACTAAATGTAGACAATTCATTTAATTTTTTAAGAAAAAGGATTTTATTATTTAAAAAAAAAAAGTCAAACTTATAATCCTGTCCGCAGCGCCATGTAAACGTATTAAAACTACGAATGACATTTTAATACTGTCTTTATTTTTTTGCATCCTTTTCTTAGCTAACCTATTCTATTTTCGATCCCTTTCACACAATGATTAATCTTGCATCTCTCTCTTTCACACTCAAACGGTTACACTTCATCGTATATTAACTGCATAACAATTGACAGATAATATAAAAAATGTTTAGACAGATAATAATTATTCTCCTTATATATTGAGACCAACAAAAAAATGAGGTAAATAATTTCATAATCTTTGAACCAGATCAGATTCAAAAATTATAAACAAGATGTTTTCACGACGTTTACTCATCATTCCTGTTATAATTTATACATATTTTTAGTTTATTTATCAATTAATCACCAATCGACATTATATTTATTTATATCAACATCGTAAAGTTCAGTTAATAAGCGTTTTCCATACCTGAAACCATAATAACACATCCATGTAGCAATAAAACTTTGTGGAAAATTAACGATAACAAGGAGGAAGATAAATATTCTCACAAAGAGCTCTTCGCTGGTGAGGACGAGCAGTGAGTGGACGTTGTTGGAGGGAGGCAGCAGCAGAGCAGCCAGCGCTGGAGACTCGTGGCTGAGACACGGAGCACGAGTGACGCTCAGGACGGACCACACGCACACCAGGGGAGACCCGCGGCCCGACGGACTGGACATATACGGTTCACAGAGATATATACAGTTTGATTAAAGAACTAGACAAACAAATAGTATAAAGAAAACATCCAACATACGATACGAAATAGTAATCGTCAACTGTCGGCATCACATAGTGTGGTGGCAGTGAGAGCTCGGGCCGGGTCGTGTGGCGAGGTACGTGCAGGAGTGGCAGTAGACCGGGCAGAGAGAGACACGCGGCGCCCCCCGCCGTGCTGACCCACAGACACCCGCCCCTTTAATACAAACACACAGGAAGGTCATGTCTCTCTTTAAACATCGTCTCCAAAATAATCTTAATTTATTTCGACAACATACATTAATTTGAACGTTAATGTACCAACCTGGGATGAAAAGTAAATCCGTAGATTTGAGCGAATAGGTTACAAACGGCTGAAGGTGGAGAACAGAGTGCTCGGACGGATTGTTCATCGGGAGGTTCGTCAGGTTGAGGTGGGAGGAGCGCCCTCTGGCGGTGACGCTGGACACGCTCGGAGAGAGCGTCCTGGACCCTGACCCGGGGCAGGGAGAGGGCGCGCGGCAACCTCCAGGACTGGACCGCACTCGCCTCCCCCCGCACACCGCCCGCCGCTCCGCACGCTACTACCAGTATTCGGGACGACTTCTCTGCTTTATCACGTTTCTACCAAACGCATCCAGATCTATTGTTGTGATTAACGATAACTAGTACGATTATTATAACATGAACAGGATACCGACCGGCCACAGCGCTCGATAGTAGGAAGTTGTTGGCTCGGTGATTTGGTCAATTTCAACATCTAACTCTTTTTCGAACCACGTGCATTCATTAGTCGGTATTGCGATTGTTGATACATGTCTGGTAAAATAAATAATAATGTAAGTAAATCTCAATGAAAGATTTAAAGTATGAGCTGTCAAATTATTTATTATTGAAACTAGACTTACGTTACTTGTGTAGATGCTTCGTTATAAATTCGCATCAATGGTGTGGTCACACCAATATGTTCGGACTGTGTTTCCTGCATAAGCCTAGGTTTAATTAAATAGTTTAGGATAATTATTCTTTTCTTTCACTGTTAACCAATGATTCACCTGCGAGGCGGCCGTAAGCCACACAGTGGTACAAGCCATACCGGGCGCTAACCACTGTAGTTGTAGTGCCAGGAATGAGGTGTCGTCCACCCAGCAGCCGCCGCTCGACCCGCATGAACTCCTACAGATTGTTGTTTTCTTCCATTCTTCTAGAAAACGCGTAGTATGGAAAGATTAAAATAAATTTTAGTAAAACGTTCATAGTAATATTAATGATACTTTTCGTCACCACTAAATTCAAGGACGAGCAACTCGCTGCGGTCGGAGAGTGCTAGTTGTCCCATGACCAGTAGCCGGCGCGTGTTCGGAGCCCACACCACCTGTCCTACCTTGGTCCACGATGTGGTCACCGTTCCTCTCCAACGGACCACCCACTTCGATATGTTTTGTAAACTGTTTAATTCCATGTTACTATTTATATTCTCCCAGACCTGAAAGATGCCAATATATATTTTTTAATATATTGTAGGTATATGTATAATTTCAGAAATAATCTTTTATATGCTAATTTTCATTTAACGTCATTTACTCACTGTTAGTTGAGTGTCTTCATCGACTAATGCGAGATAGAGGTTAGAAGAATGTAAAGAAGCTGAGATCAATGATGCAGAGTGAACATCGGAGGCGCTGAGTGAATATCGGCGCCACTGTACTATCGAACGATAATATTCTTTCCGCCACCAACATGGAATGTCCTCTGGAAAGCAAAATGAGGCCAAAGTATTGATCGTGGATCATTGTTTGACGGAGATTCAATTACGACAGAAAAGTTATGAAAATTGATTACCGTTTTCATCGAAAGTTTTATTTATCATCTTTTGTCTAAGGGATCGTAAAAGTTGGGGAGTAGCATTAGGCAGCAGGAGACGTCTCCAAAGAACGTCATCGAGAGACGCGCGCCGCCAACATTGACTCACGCCACCGCACCGCCAGAGATCTCTCGCAGGGAGATGACGAAACACGCAACGTAAAACGACGGCGGTGAGAGCCTCGTCTTCGCCTTGACCCTGCCACGGCCTTCGGTCACTATTTAGATAATATTGATTTGGATTGCCTTTATATTCATGCGCCATCTCCTTCAGGTTCGTCGACACTGTTCGTCGCTCGTTAAACAGTCTACTTTTAGTGACACGGAGCCGAACATGTGACTGTCTATTATTAGTCACGCTCAGATGACGTCAACTTCAGTTTCAAGCGTCGTATTTTAGTTTTGTCTCAATTTCTTTAATGCAATGATAATATGATCTATTTGGATGTGACCTATTGAGTAAAAGAGATCATTAACGTAAATGTATAAATATATAATAGACGACCCTGAAATTTAATAATTATTAGAGAAAAAATCTGCTACTATAGTATGTGCAAAAACTACTACTTAAGAAGTTTTAATAATTGTTAAATTTATTGGTCTTTTTTGTAATGAAACAAGTGAATATTGCAAACAGACTGATTTATTATTTTAGGTGGTGGTAGATTAATAAACATTGTTACCAATTAGTAACAGAGATGGTGCTACTAGTAATAAATATTTTGATACATCTAGCAAAAACCCCACTTATCAAAATAAACAATATGTAATTTCATTTTGGTATGATTCCCAATTTAAGCAAAAACTTATAATGTTTAATAGGACATAAACCTTTTGTGAAAATATCGGCTACCATTTCTTCAGTACATAAATAAAGAATTTTTACAAAATTATTTTTGACAACATCTCATACATAATGATATTTAACATCACTGTGCTTTGATCTATTGTGACATTGATTGCTAACTGACAATTTTATTGCACTTTGATTGTCACAAAAGACCTCAATTACATAAAAATTACCTAAAATTTAATTAAGAAGGTTCCTAAAATATTCTGCTTCCCGAGCTGCCTCAGACAGAGCAGTATATTCTGCCTCTGTACTGGAAAGACATACCGTCTGGTTTCCTACTTTGCCATGACACCGCAGATCCAGACAATGTGAAGCAAAAGCCTGTATATGACTTTCTGTCCAAAGCAAAATTCCCTATCATCCTTACAAAATTTTAAACAATAAGTTTTTGTATACAACAAATATTTTAAAATGTGTTTAGCATATTGCCAATGACTATAATTGTAACAGCTATTAAATTGGCTCAGATAACTAACTGAATATGAAATGTCTGGCCTGGTTAAAACTGCTAAATACATCAACGAACCTATTAACTGTTGATATGGAAGATCGGACAAACATTCATCAGCTTTCTTAACATTCAGTTTACATTCAATTGGGGTTCTATATGTTTTACAATTTGACATATTAAATCTAGAAGCTAACTGCTCAATATACTGTCGCTGATCTACAGTTATTACATTTTTAATTCTGTCAACATTTATTCTCATGCCTAAATATTGTCTGACAGGTCCCAAATCTTTCAATTTAAAATTTTTACCTAAAACACATTTCAAATTATCAGTTTCAACAGAATTATTTGAAAAAATTAAAAAATCATCAACATACAGTGCAACAATTAATTTAATCTCACCTTTAGTTTTTGTGAACAAACAAGGTTCATACTGACTATTTTTAAAACCCAATTTACAAAGTAATTCTTTAATACTGTCATACCGTGCAAGAGAAGATGTTTTAACCCATATATGGCTCTTTTAAGTTTCAATACCTTTCCCCCACTTTTGTTCACAAAACCTTTAGGTAATGACATGTAAATACTTTCTTTCAAAAAACCATTTAAGAATGCTGTAGTTACATCTAAGTGATCAATACTCATATTTAATTTAACACTGAGAGCAAATAATAATCTAAGTGTAGAATGCCTCACAACCGGAGAGAAAGTGTCTGTATAATCAATGCCAGGTTTTCACAAAAAACCTTTAGCCACAAGTCTTGCCCGGAACCACACATTATTGTCCACATCAAATTTTTATTAAGCACATATCTACACTTCACAATTGTCACATCACCTGGGTTGTCAATGAGCTCCCAAGCATTGTTGACTTTGAAAGACTGTGGCTCATCGGACATGAAACGCTTCCACTGCTCAATCTCATTTTATTCATATCCTGACTATTTATGTGTGCCAGCCTTCTGTGCCATAGTTTGCTACTTATCTTAGGTTCTGCTAACATACAACTTTGTGTGCACAACCTCAGCTTATAAACACCATCCGATAAATCAGCTATACCAAAACATTGCTTTTGTTTCGTATTTAGCAGTGTTTTTCATCAAAAGTAACATTATTTCCAGTTTTAATAAGTTCACTAACAGATAACAAGTTCGTTGTTAAACTAGGCACGCATAACACATTTTTCACAGTAATGTCGTATTTTAAATCAGAAACAATATCCACGTCTCCAGAACAAACAACTGGCACTTTGGATTCGTTTGCCACCACAATTTCAGGTAAACAAGATGTGTTATTTATGTTTTTAATCCAAGCTTCGTTAACCGTCATATGTGCACTTGCGCCGGAGTCGACGTACCACTCTGTTTTGTTAAACTTTCCATTCAGGAAAACAACACTAAAAGCATTTGTTTTCTTATTTTTCTTTAATAATGGGCATTGCCATTTGGCTTCGATAATGACCATCTTCTTTACATTTATAACATGTTATTGTTTTTGATATATTTGGTGTATCTGTCATAGCTGTCACTATCTTTTTGTTTGACGTTGACGACCCGTCATATTTTATTGTCTTTGGGACGCCAGAGTCAAATTTATTTCTCACGGCAAATGCAGCTCCGTTTCCGGCGCTGTCATTGTCTCTAGCGATTTCCATTTCTAACAATTTAAACTTTATGACATCAGCACTTAGGAAATACCCGAATGTTCAATTGCCATTAGCATGGGAGTATAATAATCCGACAAGCCTGCTAATAATAATGATCCAACCCACTCATCTGTTATTGTAAATCCCGTGCCATTTAATCGCTGTGCTGTGTTAACGATTTGAGTCACATATGTAGCCATAGAATCACAATTTTCTAGTCGTATAGAAATCAAATGTCGCAGCAACGTTATTTTTCTCGAGAAACCAGAATCATCAAACATAGTTTTTAACGTACTCCATAATTCTGCTGAAGTCTTGATATTCTTTATATGCACATACAATGATAGATCAATAGTCAATATTAGCTTTGCCTTTCACCCTTCGAGCACCCACAGATTCTCACCCGCGAAGCTCCACTCATCATAATTGTCTCTCCCTTTTAGTCTAGGAACACTTGCAATATAGTTCGTAGTCATGTTTACGCAATAAAACTTTCACCAATTATCTATTTTTAACAAAATAACTGAAAATTTCGGAATAAGCCCATAACCTCTAATGAAACAAGTGAATATTGCGAACAGACTGATTTATTATTTTAGGTGGTGGTAGATTAATAACAATTGTTACCAATTACTAACAGAGATGGCGCTACTAGTAATACATATTTTGATACATCTAGCAACATTTTTGAATCTTTAGTTTAAGTAAAATTTTAATTTAAACATATTATTGGAAAAACAATAATTGTAATAGAACATACATATAAATGTCCAAGAAAGTTGAAAGGAGAATGAATTTTTCTTATTAGGGGTCCACTGATCATCTGTTTTATGCGTTTTTCATAACGACTTACTCTCCATTGCTTTAAAATAAGAATATAATTATTTTAAACCATCAAATTATTATAATAGAAAATAATATTAATTAATAATTACTTAATAGCAGCTTATCATTGCAGGAATTAATTCTGTTGTTTTTGAAAACCTATTATTATTACTAATTTCCTGGTTAATAATAATCGTCTATCACAGGGGTGTCCATACTAAATGGGACTGAGGCCCAATAAAATTGATTAAATACATTGGTGGGCCGCAAAATATTTATAAAAATAAAATGCTCGTAATAATAATATCGTAATTTTATTAACTACTTTTCCATTAATTTGTCTTTTATAATTTTGTCAATATCAACCTCAATATTAGTAGTAGCTAGGCGCAGTGCATGTTTAAGTAAAGTATCTGTCATTGAAGACCTGTATTTCGATTTAATTAGCTTCATTGTCGAATATGCACTCTCATAAAGGTAGGCACTGCCCATCATCGGGTCCATTTTTTGCCCGAAATTCGCCAGTTTCGGGAAACGTTCAGCGATGAGCTTAAAAAAATATATCCCTGTTTCTGTTCTGACCTTGGGAAAGGGGTCTTATTGCAGATCACACAGTTCTAGTTGATAATCAATCTTCATAGTCTCAACTGCAATCGTCAATAGATTAGTGAAGAGTGCTATATCACTCTACATTTTTTGAAAATCTGCAAAACGTCGCTCGAATTCGACGATTATTTCGTCTATGTATTTGAGGCTGTCTAAAAAAATGATGTGTGCGACGTGATCGAACATACCCTTTAAAAAATTTGAATTTCATCGCGATAAAAATAATTTTGCTCATTGATGTTTTAAAACAAAGAATATATAAAAAAGATCCTGCGGGCCGCAATAATCCGAACCGGGGGCCGCACGCGGCCCGCGGGCCATGGCTTGGACAGCCCTGGTCTATCATATTCTTTATTATGTAAAAAAAACAAGTACCAAGTTTGTGGTGGTAGAGCCTAGCTGTAGTCAATTTACTACAGCTCGAACATGGGCTGGCTCGACCGGGGAAGTACCACCCTCTCACAGAAAATCGGCGTAAAGTAGTCTTTAAAGGCTGCGTTTCGTCCGGTGAGTGAGAGAGCCGGTTGCCCTTTCCCTTTTCCCAACCTCTCCTTTCCCTCCCTTTCCCACCTTTTCCCCAAATCAAGGGCGGCAACACATCCGCAAATCTGCGTTGCGGATGTCCATGGGCGACGGTAACTACCTATCATCAAGTAGGCCGTCTGCTCAGTTGCCCCCTTTTCCCATAAAAAAAAAAAAAAAAAAAAAAAAAAAAAAAAAAAAAAAAAACCATGAATTGTTGATATTTATTAATTTAAATATTCCTCTTTATAAAATTGAAGCAAGTTTACTTTTGAAAGGTTATTATACCTATTTTATTTTTATTTATTTTTCACCGGAGCTCGTAGTACGTACTGCTGAATGAGTCTTAAATGAAATTCTAACGGCTACATCATTTTATTTTTATTCTTTGATATCAGCTTCAGGAGTTTTGTTTGTAATTTAATGATTTGTGTAATTCCCCTAACCTAACATATGTAGGTGTTTTGTTTTGTTATACATACACACATATATATGTGTATATATATAGCGTATATTAGCTATACAATATATATAGCGTCACCAAAAGAATGGGCTGGTGCATATCGTTACGAAGGCACCTAAAGAACCTTAATCCTTAAAAGTAAGGCTCGGGCCAAGAACTTAGGATGTCGTGGATGTAGAATGAATTGCCAGCGGCAGCCTACATTTATATATTCTCGCGAGGAACGTGCGGAAGCGGGAGTCTCGCGCTCGCCGTTAAATGGAACATGGGTGTTTATCTTCCACAAACAAATAGATGATTGAAAAAAATCGAAACACTTAGAGATATTTTTTTGTTTCCTATTTTAGACGAAGCAGATTTGCTTTTAAAATTTGAATTTAAATCAATATTTAAACCCGAATTTAACACAGCATGTGAATAAACTAATTTTGTGGATAAATTAATGTTGATAAAAATCTAAATAGCGTCTCTGCAAGCGCTCAGGTGACGCTCATTGATCTGCTTCTTCTGACCTTGACTTGACCTTAAACTTTCATTAGGTAGGAAATAATAAATGACATTTATTTTTTTATTACATATTGTTTTTTTATTGTTACATATATTTGTTTTCCAACACTATTCTTTCGAAAAGAATGATTTTTAAAATTTTATATATACTAATATATATATTTTTATTCATTTATTCTCTTGTTGTGCTTGAAGAAAACCCAAGGCTACTGATTATCAACCATAGCAGGAGCCGGGGGTAAGAACCTAATGGAACGTCTTTTTCGTTTGCGTTCATGAACGTAGACACAGGCTGTATAAATCTCAACCTCGGCATCGTTATCACAGCGGCCGAGTTCGTTGCGAGCTCGCAGGACGGTCGCGTTACGAAGAGCGTCTCCGACGTGGACCTCAGGGAAAGGGGTGTGGTCCTTAGCAACGACCTCAACACTCAGTGCGTCTTGGTAGGGGCAGAGAAGACTCTGAGGAATAATGATGGTTAAGAAACAAGTTACCCTATCACTATATACAGGGTCACTGGTGAATTACTATCGATACTTGAGGACGTGATATTTGACGATCATATATGACAAAATAAAAATTAATATAACATAAATATTAATAAACTTCTAAGTAAAGTTAACCAAAAGTTATGTAATTAATTACGCATCGTGTGAACACCCTACAGATTAGGTATACACTCACACTCACACATACGCGTGCGGCGGCGTAGTGTTGTATCAGCACGCCGCCGCACGCGTCCACACTAGGAACACTTGGAACGTGTCAACACTTTATTTATTTATACGGAAATTTTGTCAAAAATTAAGTGCCTATTTTTTTTACATAATTCGAATGAGAATCATGTACCGAGTATTCTCCTTAAATATTGATAGTAATTCACCAGTCACCCTGTATAACTATATTACAAGCTGATCAAAAGTATAATATAAGAAGTAATATTTTGAGTGACATCATATTCTTACCTCATCAATAAAGCCGCTACATTGGCCGTGGGGAATGACCAAGGAGTCGGACGTACGAGGTAAATAGATTCCCTTTTCTATAAAAGCCTTTCCTGTAATATAAATCAATCTTAGTTTTAAAAATAATAAATTGACATAAACTATTAATAGTCATTAATTAGAAGGACACGTTATTTGTCAATCTAAAATTGTAAAAAATCTAGTGTAAACTCTTCAAACGTATCCTAATTTATAACATTGGCATCGCTCTAATCAGACATTTCTTGAAGTATGATGTTGAGCTGGATTGAAATCACTGCTCGATAGATTTAGATGTATTACACAAAATTTAGACACTATCTTAAACGATACAAAAACGCAATGCAATCGTGTCCGACAAAAGACATCTCGAATGCAAATGTTCTCAGAAACAGGTGTGGAGTATGATGTTGGGCCACATCAGCAGCGTTAAAGAGACTTCAAATATCCGAGTAATATTCTGGTTACTTGTGTGCGAACGGTAGACAACAGAATAAACTGTAGCCGTCTAGATTGAAGCTGCACAAGGCATTGAATTATAGGCCAACAACACAACCAGGTTCGTCATCCCAGTTGGAGCTTGATTTAAAGTCTGCCAGATACCTAACACCCCTAGAGGTCGCCAACTGTCAGTGGAGATCACCTGTGATGATCACAGTCGCCGCAGCCCGCAGCAATCTCTAGCACATGTCTAGATGAATAATTGGAACCGCTGTTGACTCCACACCCCAGCGGAGTTTTGTTCCATCAACTTTATAAAACGTAAATTGTTTTATACATTGTTATTAATATTTGATTTGAATTGACTAACAAGTGATACAAAAAACATGTTAAATTTCTTTTACGTTAAGATTTTATTAAAAATTAAACGATAACTAACTGTTTTGGGGATTTATTCAATAATGAATAAGACAACTTTCTAAAAGTTTAATGTTGTAAATTATATTATTACAAGTTCTTTGTTTATTATTTGAATTAACGATACTAAATTTTAATAACTTATGTTTCCAATTCACGACACATTAAAGTTGATACAATAGTAATTCTCTTTTTCTCGTTAATTATCATCTGAATCGGTCATGTTGTCCAACGTAGGTATGTATGTAAATAAAAGTCAGGTCTGATACAACATATGACATTGATTTATATTGTGGGTCATATTAATTTTAATGTTATTTAAATTAGTAGTTTAGCATCTCTCGGCTAGTGGAGGCTTGTATTAAATAAATCAGAACTTACTCTTAGATTCGCTCGTGACATACAGATCGAGTGAGTTGCTGTACGTCTCATGAACCATTAACATCAAGCTAACACTCATCACACACAACAGCATCTTTTCGGTTCTGTTACAATCGCGAATGAAAACTATGAGCTGTTTGTCTCACGTGTTATACGATAAAATATAAATATATCCTTGAAATAATACGCTCATTAGTTAATCCGTAAAATGTGCATTTAAATATTTTAATTGGGTCATTATTTAAATTTAAGGATTCTATAAACGAGAAAAAATACAAAAATAGATGTATGTTAACATAAAATTATTTTATATAGAAAAGTATACAGAGGAGTATATCTTAAGAGTTGAAACAGAACTTTAAAAAGGCAATTAGTGTAAGTAAAAAATAAGAGTTATAAATAACAGGTTGTGAGTCAGCAACTGAGCTCAAGGCGGGGAGCAGGAGCAAGCTGAGCTGCGGTCTGCAATTAATCTTCGTCTGTATTATCGCTGTTATTAGCTGGTTCGCTGATCAGATGGGATTTATGAATCATTTTATGGTTTTATAAAAATCCCTGTTTCTTTTTGTATACAATTTTTCTTAATAAACAATAGCAATAAAGTTATATTTACCTGTAACGACTCTCTTTTAAGAAAAATACTAACTCATACTTTAATATCTTATACATATGTACATGTATATAAAACGTTTCTAATCTTCTATATATATAAAAATGAATTGCTGTTCCTTAGTCTCGCTAAAACTCGAGAACGGCTGAACCGATTTGGCTAATTTTAGTCTTGAAATACTCCTGGAAGTCCAGGAAAGGTTTAAAAGGTGAGAAAAATTGGAATAATCGCCGGGAAAACCCTAAAAACAGCCCTTTTCTATTTCCCATACAAACGTTTTTTTTGACATTAGATTTGACAACTAACTAATATGACAATCATTCTGTTTGATTGAAACAGGAAAAACCTGATTATTTATGGCCTCTAAGACGGAATAGAGTTCGCCTGGTCAGCTATACCTACATATATTACTCTTGACCAAACTAACGCGGACGAAGTCGCGGGCAAAAACTAGTAGAAAATATAAATGCACATAATGACATCAAACAAGTGTGAGAGTGTACTTATATTATGTATGTATGTATGTAATACGATAAGGTGATTTCATCGATCAGTCTTGGTTCATAACGCGAGGGCATTTATTTATGTAATTCTTTTTATAATGATATTCGGTACCTTCACGTTAACAATTATTAATTTATTCAAATGTAAAACAATTTTCATATACACGTCACTTTTGAATATTTCAGTTATAAGTAAGGTGTAAATAAAGATTAAGGGATTTCTTGTTTTAGTTTCAACTTTTATAAAAGGTTAAATGAAACTAATATTTTTCGGATTTTTTTACTACGCATGCTTAATTTTTGTAAAAAAATACATACTCCCGACATCTCGTCTTCCCATAATCACTGTTGCTGTAAAGTGACCGAAACGTCGGTAGTACCCACTACCGTATGTCAACTGACAAGTTTACAGCACCTTTTGATTAATTATTATCATCTCATTGCACGTATCGTTCAAATGAAATGTTAAATGTTATGTAGTTGTCATAAATCCTCAAGGAGTATGTCATTGCAGCACCTAACTTCTATGTAGGGTACTGTGAGTAGCACGAATCTTCAAGCTTTGTTTAATCTCTTTAGCTTCTTTTTTCTACACTTTGTGTAAATTTAAAGAAAGTTATACAGGTTCTATCAATTGGTTAAGATGCAGTGGCATCATTTACAATATGTTAATAAAAATCTTCTCTAAGAACGAAAGTGTTAAGAAAGCTGGGGGACACATTCAAATGCATTAAATTACAAATTTAGTTTACAAGAATAGTAAAAAAAAAAACATAATTCACAAGAATTATCAAAAATAACGATATTTCATTTAATGTTCGGAAATATAAGAATTTGCAAAAGTCGTAAATAGATAAGTAGCTACTCGTATATGGATAAGAATAACGTAAGACGATACAGCAACAGTGGAACGATAAAGATTGTGATACCTAATTAAGAAAAAGAACATCCTAGAAAATTTAAACAGGATATAAATCTATTGCTATAAAAAATTATTGTTACAAATAATATGCAAATACATATATGTACTCGTACTGTTCATGTACTGATAACCCAAATTTAGTATCAGAAAATTTTCTCAGATTTGATAAAACGTGTTGGATTACAAAGGATATTTACAATATTGCTGTAGCTCAACAACTTCCAAAGTCCTGTACTGAAAAATAAAGTTTAACTGTTGACAGACTCCTCTAAGAAATACAGAAGGATCTTCACATATCACATATTTATAAAAAGCTGCCGTTGACGCTTTTAATTAACGGTAAAGTATGATATTTTAAAGTGATCTGAGTTAAGAATTTCAATTTCGACTAGCGACCGAGGTTTCAACTTAATATTGTTTTCTTTTTGGAACCCCAACAGATTTCCTTAAATAAGTTTCCTTCATGGAGCAGGTTGTATATTTTATTTCATGTTCATATTCAATCCAAAATATATAAAGGAATTAATTCTACTAACGAGCTAGTACACGCTAGCAGTGTACGTCGCGTCAGTCAGCGGGTCTGCATCGCTGTCAGCGAGGCGTGGAGGCGGTCGATGGTCTCTTGTTGCAGTTGGACCTCGCGCTGGATTTCTTCGAGTGACAACATTATAGCAAGCCATTCAGATTTTTCATCTAATTCCTTTTGGGTAAGAAAGGATTGTATCGATTATAATGTATCAAATATGAAAGAATTAATTAAACAATATGAAGGACTGATCATTATCAGTACCATTTATCTTTAGCGTCCATAAAACTACATATTATTTTAACTGTTATGAAGCACTTCAGAAAGTTTCTAATAAAAGAACATAAATTATAGATAACGAAATATTTGAAATTATAAGTAGGTAGACAAATTCTACGCATTTTAATGAATGTTCTAGGATGTAATAACGATATGTATTTTAAGTTTTTTTTACTTTCTAGAGTCAGATAATTAATAAAACAAAGAGCAAATGATAAGGAAAAGAATTCGTTTACTTTAGTCTCTTTAATGTCCGCTTGTCTATTAACTTCGAAAATGACAATCAACGAGCCTATGACAAAAATTATAATTTCTCCTGAAATCAATAAAACGTATGATTTAAATGTGTCATAAAATTTAAAAATGAAAGAGCAACGTGTAATGCGGTCACCCAGTAAATCTCCTCCTAAATTAACAGCGGTCTGTTCTCTCAGAGGCGGCGCGCGTGCGTTCTTCGGCAGCGAGATGCCCGCCATCTTCAGGGCCCACGTCTTAGCCATCCACTCACACTCGTGATAGGAGTACGCCACGTACCGACACACGCTCCCGCCCACTTTAGGATGGCCCACGGCGTAGTGCTGATATATTCATGCATTCTGACTGAGACAATCGTGACGGAGGGCCACACTAACTTTACTCATACCGGCTTACCTTGATACGTGTAGCGACTGGCGAGCTGAGCTGCCGCGCCAGTAATGTTGCAAGTCTAAACATTGGAAACTGATCTACGACCATCTTATATCACGTTGGTTTGATCCTGTTACTACAATGAGACGCATTAGCTTTATTGAAAAAAATATGTTGTAAAATAAAATATTTTAGCTCGAAAGTCTATTAAAAGGTTATCAAAACGTCAAAACAAAGAGAGCATAATGACAATGACGTTAAGTTTTAGTTTTAATTTTTTTATATGGCTGCAGAACTATTTATTTTATAAAAGTATAAAATACATGTACTTTATTATAACATACTTGGTACATACTTAAAATGATTATAAAATAAGACTGTTATAGTAAGGTACAGGCAGTCCAAAGATAAAGTGAGTCTATCAGAATTAAAAGAAGAGAATAAAATATAACAATGACATTCTATTGTTAAAACTGACTTTTATTGTTTAATATTTAATATTAAATTAAAGAAATCGATTATTTGTATAGTTATTTATTTTTAAAAGAATTACCTAATTATGGAAATTTCATACCAATACACTAAGAAACGTTGTGACTTCGGACGCCAGGCACTGTTCTGTGAACAAGGCCCGGAGCTGTGTGACAGCATCTCTACCAACGTCGCTGAACACAAGCACTACATCCTCCGCAACCCTGTACACGAGGCCATTCAGAACACACCTTGTTTTTCCCCACAGTTCATAAACACGATCCGGTAATTTTCTGTGCTGTCTCAATATTGTTTCTTTAGTCTTAAGTAAAATGTTTTTAAAATTATTTTAATCGTCCTGAACTCATCTTTAAGTGCTGAATATACAACGACCGGAGCAAACCACGCGGAGGGAGGTTGGCCGAAGGACGTCAATGTCGTCGACCCCGAAGCAACTCAACGATATAGAAGAAAAATCGAGAAAGATGACACATACATACATTGTGTTATGTCGCTGTCTCCCGTGAGATGAGCTTATTGTTATAAAACTAAGCAAATTAAAAATCACTTTATCCGATTGCCTATTAGGCCACTCAAATTAGGTATAAAAATAGTTGTCAAATAACAAAAATCTCAGAAAGCTAAATATTGGTCGACAGAAGGGTTTTACCATTACAACGAGTTTTAAAATCCCCCATCGATCCTATGCGTACTTTAAAAGTTATTCGGAGTCGAAAGTTTTTTTAAATCTATACTTGTAATGGTAAACCACAGCTCTCCACCAATATTTGGCTTCCCGTTAATATTTGTTATTTTAAACGTCGACATTGACCGGACTATATGCATGTCTAGGGGCTGGAACACTATGTCCTCCAGAACAACGCCATTGACATGTATCGCACATATTACGCGGAGATGGCGTCTTTACCGCCCATTGAGAAAAGCAGCTGTCGTACGGTGAACGTGTATCGTGATGTTGCTGCTGGTGGAGGCCGACCCATCAGCTCTATTTGCTGGCAGACGGAAGGTGGTCATTGCTTTGCCGTCACTTACGTTGATGTCGATTTTAATAATATTGCTCGGGCACCAGTAGAGTCGTATATATGGGATATAGAAAACGCTAATTATCCGATATCCACGCTGATTCCGCCGGCACCTCTGCTGGATTTACAATTTAACCCACGAGATCAGAATACATTGATCGGAGGAATAATGAATGGACAAGTAGGTGTATGGGACAAACGGCAACATGGAGTCGCCGCTGGCTTGTGTGCGCCGCATGTTGCACATCGAGAACTCGTGCGGAATGTACTTTACATCAATTCAAAATCGGGTCAAGAGTTTTTTTCTGGCGGACCAGATGGTGCATGTAAATGGTGGGACATTCGTAATCTGAATGAACCGACAGACGAAATGATACTAGATGTTGTGAAGTCATCATTCGATGTCCAAACGATGGCTAACGCAAACGGAGTCAGTACGTTGGAGTACGAGTCGACGATGCCGACTCGATTCATGGCTGGAACTGAAAATGGGTTTGTGATTGGAGGAAACCGTAAAGGAAAAACAGCGATGGAGAAATTGCCTGCTAAGGTTTGTCTTTATTAACATTTACAATATGTAATGCCAAATGAAGAGCGGAGATTAATGATAACTTTTTGTATATAACGAAATAGTTCGAAGCTCACTTGGGTCCTGTGTGGTCGTTGGAACGTAATCCGGGTTTCCTTAAAAACTTTCTCACCGTCGGAGATTGGACCGTCCGTCTGTGGAGTGAGGACTGCCGGGAGTCAGCCGTGCTCTGGTCTCCTCCTCACAGACATAAAGTTACATCGGCCGCCTGGAGTCCCACACGGTACACATAGTTTTAAATAAAGAGGTTTTATACTACCAAAAATTGAGATCATTTTAAAATGTAAGAGTAAATTAACTTTTACAGTCTGTCACTCATGACTATGATGCAGTGGAATGGTGTGATGGCTATATGGGACCTACTCAGGCGGCAACATGAGCCGGTACTCACAATGCAAATTTGTGAGGAGCCGCTTCTTAGAGTGCGCATGCATGACGGTGTATGTAAAACATTTATAATTATGATAATTATTAATTAACGGCACATTATCGACGTGACTTCTTTTAAAAATTTAAGGGGACTTTGGCCGCTTGTGGCAGTAAAAAGGGTAATGTGTACATGGTGGAGCTATCACAGAATTTATCGCAGTCGGACAAGAACGACAAGGTTTTGCTCACTGCGGTAAGTCTGGATTCACACTAAAAATATACATTTATTAGAACAATGATAAAAAATCTTCTGTCGATCTTATATCCTACAATGTTTTTTTTTAATTTAATCCAAACTAAACTATGTATATTCCAAGGTTTGTCTTAAATAAATTTAATTAAGCGACCATCGTATAATATATCGTGCGCTATCTTAGAATATTTTTTTTATTTTGAACGAGTTTAGCTTAACAATAACTTAAACATTTATTTGTAAGAAAGAGAGGAAAAAGCATGGGCCATAGTTAAAAGAATGAAGTTCCTATAGAACTCCATAATAATTTTAATCGGGTATAATTAGTGGAGAGTAGGGACACATAATGACGCGCTCGGTGGCGTGGTCGGTGCACGTGTTGGTTATAGTTTCGCTTGGGTGGCGGGGGCCGACATATTCATTGTTTTATCACGGTCTAGTTTGCGTATTAAGGGGTCTCGGGGACTTTTTGAATAAACCGACAAGTATAATCTTAATATCGATTTGTTTGCATATAGTAAGCTATTTCATTTCATTTCTGTACAGATTTTCGAGCGTGAGAGTAAGCGCGAGCGTATCTTGGAAGCGCGCATGCGTGAGTTCCGCCTGAAGCTGCGTCAGGCCGAGGAAGGCAGCCCCATCGCCGTCGCCTCTGAAGTAGATCTGACCGTCGGAGACAAGGACCTGGCCGAAGCCACCTCCGACTACATGCAGCTCGTGAAGAAAGAACTCGCCGCCATGTAGCTCTTGTTGATATATGACGGAAACTTATTTATTTGTAATTATTTTCATATATTTTAAGTATTTTTTTATTATATTTATTATGATAGTTTTATAATCTTATTTTTATATGTAGTATATTTATTATGATAGTTTTATAATCTTATTTTTAACTGTGTGACAAGATTTTTCTATTTTCTATCGATATTAAAATTTTATCTTTTTCTTCGATGTTTTTGTAATGGATAATTTATTTATAATAAAGTATAATATTTGTTGTATTATATTTTAGAAATATCTATATAATAAACAGTCGTGGTGGTGATTCTACCTGCAGTTTACAACTGAAGTCTACTGACTACTAAATAAGTTGTATAAAATAGATTTTAAATATTTGTGTAATTTTTAATTAATTATAAACTATTGATTACATTTTATATAAAACATCTCAAGTTTTATTTTTATACAAACTAACTCAAAAGTTATTCTCTCCTTACTTATAATATTTAATAATATACAATTAATATCTGTATGAGTGTTTGAGTATTTGTGTTTGAGTTGTCAAAGTTTTAAAACTAAGGCCCAGTTTCACCAATGGCTGTTAAATCTAACCGAGGCATTTACTAACGAACCATCAAAAAATAATGGTATGTTAAAATATTTGTATTCCATGATGAAAAATTAACAATACATTACTTAATATCACGTTAAATGACCGACTACCAAATTATTCGTTCTTGTTATAAGACGAACAAATTGTAGCTATTTATTTATTTATTTATTTATTAATTTGATCTACCAACATTTGTACACATCATTACATACTTAAAATACACAATACACATAACTTACAACTAGGTGTGACAAACAATTACAGGTATATACATCATGCTTAATATTCCTCCCAGCGCGAGCCGCAGTATAAACAAAACCAATAAATTTTAATAAAAATATAAAAAAGAAATAAAATAATAAAAGGTAAACTTACAAAATAAAATAAAAAATATAGCTATAGCGTTTAATAGGTACGACACGTCTGCTACGAGGCACCACTTTATCCCTTGATCGCATATATCCCTCGATGCGTCATTTGTTAGCTAATACTTACATACATAATATTATACACATCGTTTATTGCATAGAATTCTCATAATAAAGCTTTCTTTTCAGTTTACTAGATGTAACCTGTCAAAATTTATGTTATAAATAAAGGCATAAATTGTGTTAAAGTGAAAAAGAAATTTTAATTCACCTTATTAATAAATATAAGGAATTAGTTGAAACAGACAAAACAGATGTTACTATGGCTACAAAAAAATCAGGGGCGCGATTGAACATTTGAGTTTTGACAATACAATAGACGAACAGTCCGTTAACAAGAATTAATAATGTGACTATGATATAAATGTCCTATTTTTTTTCAATATCATTTTATCTACACAAAGGTTCCGAGATAGCTTAAATCAGATCACCGCTTTCTAAAGGTGTGGTTATAAAAATAGGTACCAGCTACCGCAAACGACTTCTTAATTCGTTCCCGTTCTATCTCAAATGCAATTTGTAAAGATTTGGATTGAATTGACATCTACTATTTATTGTTTTTGTTTATATTATATTATACTTTGTAATAAGTTTCATTTGGTAATAAGGAGGTGAGTGTTGAATCATTTGTAATTAATATGATAAATGATAATCTTCAATGATCATTTTATGTCGCGTGGCTCCATCTCTGGGATTAAATATTGCGTAAAATTGAGGTTCAAGTATAACTGTCTCGGGGACAACTAAAAAAGACTCATAACATTCAGTCAGGATCGAATGATAATTCATCTCAGCTGTATGAAGGTGTTCCTGTTTCTGTGTTTAACGTGTTTTTCTCTGACTACTCGTTGTCTTCTATGTCGGAGTTTTTTTCTTTGTCAAGAATTTTATCCACCTCCAGAGAACGTTCTCCCAAAAATGTTGCAAAGCAAAACTTATCGCAACAAACTTCCCTCAACGAAAGTAACCGGCTTCTTCACAAACTTTTGTACTTACAACTTATGGAGTTAGTTCGAGAAAATGTAGTTCTATCAAAGTAAATGTATGAAGAAATATGATGTGTTTGAAATATTTAAATCGGATGCATAGTAAACAAAGGCTGCAATTTCAATAATTTCCATTTGTAAAGAATACTGAGTTGAAAAATTAAAACGACTTCAAATAGTTAAACCGAAAGTACGCACTTCTTCATGTATTAAAAAGATCACATGACGATTTGAACGACTCACCTCAGTTACTGCATTGAGTTGAGTTGAAATAATAAAAAGACCCGGTTAGAGATTAATATATACCTGTAATAATAATTAAATATTTATTTTGATGTGTCAAAACTGAACAGCAGATGAAAGAGTATTTATAACCATACGATATCTACTTATATTTAGTGCACTCTATCGACGAGTGAGAAAAAGTGAGGAAAGTTAAAATATATCGTTAGCATTTCCTGCCATCTATGGGCGAGTAGCGGTAGTAATTGGTTAATTTTTCATGACGTACGCCATCTATTGGTTAGTAACATATGCCATTTTATCCTTATACAAATGTTGTAGAAATTAAACTATTTATCACTTAAATTTGACAAAAACACAAAACTAATATTAACGAACAGATAGTTTTTCGTTTATGATGCATTAGTTTGTTACTTTTATTTATGTTTTTAAAATACGCATTGGCAATTTATTAACTACATATATTTTTTTCAACACCCATATAATATATCTAATATTACGACTCTCAATCAAAACTAATACTCTAAACACTTTACAACACAACAAATGTAAAATGTAACTTTACTTCTATTATTTAAACATAACGATTAGAATAATTACTGATAAAATTCAATTAATGCAAAGAATAAGTCATATTATTTTGGTGGCCTTTTATTGAAGAAGTTTGACCAAATATATTATTTTTTTAGTGAAACACATACACTTTATTTGTTCTCAATTGAACAAGAAGTGATAATTAAAAAGAATAATTTTTAAAGAAGTTAAAATTATTGTATTTCATTAAATCAAATAAAAATTTTAACATTGCACTCGATCTGTAAAGCTATAAGTACCTATGGAGATGTAAAAGAAAGTTGTAATTTAATCAGCCTCTAGAAAAATCAACCAAAATATAAATAAGTCAGCAGACGTCAGGCGGAGCAGGAATCGCTTTACTTCATATCTCATTTAAGATGAAAGCCCTCGAGTGTAAGTTACCGTATGTAACTCACACCACCTCCTCACGAACATCGACTGTTTCCTTAATTATAAACAACATTAATTATTGGACGAATGTTTTATTATCTCTCAGCGAATACGATACGACATTTGTGATCGTGACAACAACATCTCATGTTGTCAATTTTTTATTTCCTCTTACATAAAACTGTCAGTGTATCTTCAACATCATATATTAGCAAAAAAAAATACATCGTTCTGCTTCTGCAATGAGAAAACCTTGAAAACTTACGCTAACATTTAGGATGAAACCTCTATCCATTTGACATCTCCAAATAAGTATTTGGCGTATAGTTAAAGCACGGGTAGCTGCTTCACAAAACCTGTACAATAATTTCCAAGAGGTCGTATAAAATTTTAACAAATTTTTGTTGCACTTTTTCTTAATTGTTTAAGTGAAGAGAATACTTTTAAACCACGATACACAAAAAGAGTTTTGTAAAATCTGTAGTCACGAGGAGATTTATCTTTTAATTTTATTTATTCGTGTTCATAAATTAATCATCCATCGTGTTTTGAGGATGCTTCAATCTATAAGATAGTTTACTTCTTTTCTTTCATTATAGCGTTGGAACAGTAAATTGTGTTTTCAAATGTAATTAAGATGTTATTACAAATAATGAAATAAACAATTGCGTGTGATTCATTATTGCTGAAATGTTAATGACATTTGGCTGGCTACAAACAGACAGGCCGCGTGTTTTCACTGTGTATGAAGTGCCTATATATATATATATATTCGTTTCAAATTCTATTTACGATTGACTATTAAAATGATCTAAAACATTCTAAAGCTAAATGATGCAGACTTTTAATTCATATATTATAAATGATGCTTGATTTTATAATTTTAATGAAGCTGAGGTAATCTTTTTATATTTATATTCATTATCATTTTCTATGAAGCTGGAAAACACTTCGTACGGTATTATAATAAATAAATATTAATGAACAGTTGTAAGCTGCCCCACACGTGTTGTGATATTTACCTTCGCAAATTTTAATTATAACAAGTTTTTCACATAATGTTTAAGTCTCATCACGATAAAATTAATAATAATATCTGTATTGGGGATAGTTTTTCATACTCATTAGTATTTACCTAGTCGGTGCCATAATGACCCGATCTGATATACATAGTTCTGCATTCCGTTGTGTTCCATTCAATAGAACGTTTATATGTACTAATGTAATATAAGAAACACGCAACACGCAGAACCTGTTCACACCTGATGCTGCTGGTGTTTCGAAGGATGCAGGTCGTCAACAAGGGTAACACAAGTGGAACATCCACCTTACAGTCCAGGCATGACCCGTTCAACTGTTATTTATTTCTAAGTTTCAAGCCGGACTTAAGACGAAGAAGATTTTCAAGCGATGAAGAGTTACAGGCGGCCGTCTTCGATTATTTTGATAATAGCCACTGTAATTATTTTATATAAAGGTTTAGAGATGTTGATTCTCAGATGTCAATAGTACATAGTCTTCATATTGATAATCACATTTGAAAAAAAAAATTGGTTTCATTTCTTTCATTAGTTCATAGTTTAAAGCAATTAATTACGGGACCGCCAACGTATTTTATGTGGTGCATACAATACATTTTAAATAAGGATAATCATGTTTCATATTGAGGCAGTTGTTACGTACGCGCAATATAAGGAATTAAATGAACATCGCCGGGGCAACATCGTTGTATGGATACAATATCAAGAAGAGAAACGAACACCAAGCTGTGTGAACCAGAATATTGAT